ATAATTATTAAACCATTTTTGACGTATATGTAATCTGATTTGTTGATTATCAATTAATATATAATCAATCATCGGTTTATCATAATGCATTTCGTTAAAAAAAAAAAACTGAAATTTCTTCGATATATTTATTCTTATTATCCAATTATGTTTAATAGATTCTATTATATTTTTATCATTAATATGAAATAAAAAGAAATTTTTAAATAATAAATTCGATGGTTGATAATCATTTTTATTTTTATCATAATCAAAATTTATATTTAAATAAAATCAATAATTATATTTATATATCTATGATGTTGTTGAATATATAATTCTAATATCGAATGAATTTGTTCAATATTTGTTTCTGTTATATAAATAAAAAAAATATATTTTAATATATATATATAATAATTATCAAAATATTTATTTGATGAAAATTCTATTTCATAAAAATTAATTTTTAATTTAATTTCCATGATTCTAAATCATATTGATTATCTAAAGATATGTTTATTTTATTTATAAATCGATTAATTATTGTTTGAATTAATGAATTATTATTTAACCATTCTCTATAATCATATAAAAAATGTAAATTTATTAATAATAATTCTTCTAATTTTGGATCAAATTTCTCAATGTATGTTACATGTTCAGATCGACCTCCATGAAATAGTTGTGGAAGACTTTTATAACGTCTTTCAATATCATTATATAAATATATTCTTTCGGGATTTATTAAATCTAAACATATAATATGAATAAAATGTTTCTGTACGATTTATTGTTGGGGAATAAAATAATATCTCAAAAATTTGTGGTAAGAAATTTATATTTATTTGATTATTTCTATGAAAATTTTCAATTAAATAACGAAATATAAATTGCCAATAAAGACGTATATATGAACGAGAAAATGATGATTGTAAATGAGATTTTAAATAATAAACTATATTTATCCATTGATGTTTCATTGCATAATGACGAACTATTAATAATAATCAACGTATTTTATCATCATCATTTATTGTTATTAATTGTTCAAGACGTGTTTTAAATTTTCCATTTGAATACCTACGATTTGATGATATTAAACCCGTATATATATCAGATTGATATCGACCAGAAATCTTCGTTCGACGTCGAATTCTATTTGAAGAAGAAAATAAATCAATATCATCACTATCCTCTAGTGGAGTTATTTCCAATGATGATGATGAACGATGCAGACATTTTGTCATGATATCTATAATAGGTGGTCTCTCATAGATACATGGAAATTCATCATTAAATTATTTATTTATTGTAGAATGTATAAAAATAAAATTTTATTATTTCTAGATAAATCTTACCTATTGAAGAATTTCTTGACAGAAAATCATTGAAATTTATATGAAAAAAGATAGATGTCAATCTATTAACTGAGAATCAATGTCAAATAATAATTATAAAAGATAGACAAATAAATATATTTGCTCGATAGGAAGGTGAGAAAGAGAAGAACTACGATAATAATATTACTGATTGATATTCATGTTTCTATTACTTCAAGCAAATTGATTCTTCTTTTCTTTCTTTCTATCGTCAAAGTCAAGCATTTGTAGACATGCTCTATTTGTTCATCTGTAAATAGACGAAAAAAACATTTAAAAAAAAAAGGAACTATCTTTTATCGAGAATATGGTAAGCATAAACAATAAAAAGAATAAAGAAAAGATGATTAGTTTTTTGCATAATAAGTTTTATTAATAATATTTTTAATAGAATCTCGATAGAATTTTATTATATCCAACAGAATTCAAACGTTTATCAGACACAACCGAATGGCAAGATCCCCTTCGATAAAAGAAAAATTCTGCTTAGAATTTAACAAAATACAGAAGAATTTAAATAGAATCGTCCATTGAATTTTATCAAATAGAATTAATCTAAACAGTTACCGAAGTCCATCTTTTGAAAAGATTGAGTTAATATAAGAATATTCTTTTCTTTTAAGAATATCAACTAAATTATTTTTCATAAAAACTTCTACAGATATTTGACGTCAATCATTTAAGAAGCTTTTTAATTAAATTTATAGAAACGTTTACCGGAATAATAAATTTAATAAAAGGTAGAAGCAATTATTATTTTAAATATAGATAATAAAATAGAAAATTCTTCTCTAGAAACGTTTTCTGCAACGATATTTATCAAGAGTGATTTTCTTTCCTATGAGACACGTCCATCTCAATTATAATAACGTCTCATTTCAAATAAAGCTAAACTCAACGTTTAATTATAAAATGTATCGTTTTTTCAAAAAGAAAAAAATCGAATCTGAACTAAAATAAATATTGATTTTATTTTAGAATCGTTTATCTGATATGGAAAAAAAATGAAAGATTAAAAACAAATTCTATAAATAAACAAAGAAAAACCGATGAACTTGAAAGACAATCTTCAAATGAAAAACTTCTACGAACAACACTTTTGAATATTCAATCTGATTTAGAAGCAAATTCTGCTCAAAAACCAAAAATAAACAATTGATTATGAAAAACAATTAACAAAGTCTTCCAGATGAAAGTTGTTAATGTTGCTTCTTTTTTATTTATCGAAATTGAATTTTTCTTATTAATTTGTATCGTAGAAAATTTCGAAATAATCAAGAAAAATCTAATGATATTGTTAATAAAATATTTCAATATCTTCATTTAACTAGAATAATTAATCAAACAACAAATCAATCCGATATTAATTTACCAATATTAAAATAATTAGAAGAAGAAGTTTAAATAAATATTCAACAATTTAAATATCCGAATATTGAACAAACAAATCAACGTTAGATTTTCATTTATTTCTTCATTTTTTCTTATATATATATATTTCGATAAATTGTTTAAAAAAAAACAATTAAAAAATAAAATAAAAGTTGATTAAATCAAAAAGAAGAAGAACATCGAACAGAGGTTTGTTTATTATTTATTATATTTAATTTATATATATATATATATATATCGAATAAGCTTTTTTTTTTATGATTTATTTAACAATCAACAAGAATTTATCTATTATTTATATTATTTCGAATATTGAAATAAGATATTTTTTTGTTTTCATTCGAGAAATTCTTGATAAATAAACTCTTATTTGTTATCGTTGACAGTCGATATTAATCTCAATATTCAAATATATAACGTTCGATTTGACTTTCTATCTCTATTGATTTATATTTTATATAACTCTCAAATTTCTCTTCGTTTAAATCAACAGTTTCGAATATAATTTTTGAAAAAAACGGTTACTTTTTATAATAGATTATTTAGGTTAAATAATTTATTAATCTCAATCATTCATAGAGTAGGCACTATTCACTTTTTTTTTCAATATAATCATCATCACATGACCATATTCAACATTAAACTTTTATTCAAAAATTATTCAAAAAAAAAAAAAACAAATCGTATCCGAGAAAATAATTGGTAAAAGGTGTGAGAGAATGAGAATATCTCTATGGATGTGAATGATAGTTGATTCGATAATTGAGATTTTATTCTAACGTTGTTTATCAATAATCGATTTATTATTTTATTTAATATAGAATCGATCAAGACTCTTTTCATATATCTTTGTTCCAACGTTGTCCATATACCTCCCTATATCGGTTCTATAAGAGCCATTGATAAAATAATTTATTAAATAGAGTATTAGCCTATCGAATATGGAAATAGTCTCGCCTAATCCATTGAATGTCCTCTTCTTCGAGTATGTCGATTTGATTGATGTCAAAATTATCTGGTGGAAAATCGAAATTGAATGACATAATAAGAGTTACTTTTTTTTTTTGTTTTTTTTCTTTGACCACATTATTGACTGTAGAGAGAAGCAGCATCTATCTCTTAATGTGGAACAGATAAAAATAAACATAAAAGAATCGATACTTTTTTTAATAGACCTATTGTCAAATGTTAATCCTATTTTACGGTGAGCCATTTGTAAGGTCTCAAGGAATATTAATTTATAATAAATAGAATATCGACGTTGTGATCAGTTGAAGTGTCTAGAATTCATATATTAAATATCTTCTTGATTATCGTCGATCTGTCAAAGAGTGAGAAGATGGTCAATTGTATTCGTTAGTATGTTGAATTGGCGGATTTATCATGAACCTTTCGAAACATATCTAATTCAGACTTCTTCATTAATTAATATCACAGAGAGATTCCAAAAGATCGCTACTGACTGCAACTAGAGAATATTTTATTTAAAAAATTTCGATTTTTTCCATTTGTTTTTTTTTGAAAATTATTGATTTTCTCAGTCATTTATATCGAAGGCAGAGTAATGAAAAAAAATTTTTTTTCTTACCAATTGATAACTTGTGAAGTTCCCGAACAATAATGTCTTGGCAGTTTTTCAGTCTCATGTTTCCTTTACTTTCTATGATCATCCTATAATTGGTTCATATAAGACCCATTTGGGAATAATCGGTTAAACTCTACAAGTGACATAATTGATATTTTATTTATGTTCATTGATAAGTTGAAACCGAATGTGATCCTCTCGAAAAAACATAATTTATCACTAAAGATAGTTATCGAGGAGTAACCGTTGATTATAGATAGTTCGAATAATAAATAAATATAATATATTTATCGTATGAAACAGTGATAAATAGATAATCGTCGATAATTAATCGATAGATGTTGAAAATCTTTCAATTATTATGATAAAATATCATCCGAAGAGTTCGACGTTGATTGCTAATATTGACTCGATTAGTTCTTATAAAAGAATTGTTTAGATAAATGAATTCGAATAATCAATTTATTTAAGATAATAAATATAAGTGTTAAATCGTTTGAATAAAGTTCATCCTATATATATATATAGATGAAAATATAGGTCAATCGATTTTCTTTAACCTTTTTTTCTAAACAGTTTTATTTAAATAATAATTATTTATTATTAATCATTTTCTAAAACCTATAGTAAAATTTATATACTTAAAGTATATTTAAAAATAAATATGAATTCTTAATTAATTAACTAATATAATTATTTATCTATAAATGATTATATTTTTATTAATTAAAATAAATCGAGAAAAATTAGAAATTGAACTTGATCAATGTCGAGAAAAGAAATGAATTATTTGAAGAAAATCTTCAACGTTCAAAAAACGAATGTCAACATTTAATTAAATAAAATGAAAAGACAAAAAAAAGTCTCGTATTAAATATAAATGATGTTAAAATAAAAAATCTAATGTGAGGAAATAATTTGAAAAAGTATTCAATTTAATTTAAACCAATTAGAAAAACAATGGAGAAATCTTCACTATTAAATTAATTCAGTTAAAAAGTTGAAGAAGAAGTTTTTTATCTTAAAGATGAGTTAGATAAAATATATCAATTATTTTTAACAGAAATAAATCAATTATTTATATCAAATCAAAATCATATTCGACAATTAACATTACAATTCGAGGTTTAGAAACGTTTTTTTTTAAACAAAAAATTTCGTTCGTGCTAACCAAATGGAAATTCGTGGAAATGAATGTGAACAACTTTTGAAAATTTGAAATGAAAGAAATTAAAAAAATGTTGATGAAATAGATAAATATAATATAATATAAAAAGATTTAATATGATTATATGTTTCAATTCATCGACGATATATTCAATTAATTGTTTGATATTCTTTTATTAAACAAGAATTAAATAAATATAATCAAATAAAACAAATTTTTTATTTAAATAATTTAATTGAAAAAAACGATTTTATTCATATATCGTTATATGAACAATTCCATTTAAAAGATTGAATTTTATTTTGTTTATTTGAAAATCATCTATTAAATATATATTATATTCATTTAATTATAATTCTATTCAAATAATTTATATTGATTAGATATTTCAATCATTTTTTATTCAATTAAATTCATTTTATCCACCTATTAGAAAAGGATTTTATTTTTTATTTTTAACATAACAAATATATTTTATCTTTTTTTATTTTTTTAGATCATTAATTAAATTAATTGGTGGACGGACCTCGAAATCTATCATCATCATATATTAACGTTTGAACTTTTCAATGTATTTACTTTTTTCTTTTTTTTTTAATATTGATAAGTCGATTGTCAGATTTTATTCTATATATTTAATTTTAGTCATCTATAGACATTTTTTTATTATTCAATATATTTTTGTTTTACTAAATGAAAATTAATTAATTTAAATAAATATATGATTAATTAAATATTAATCTATAAATAATTATATTGAAATAAATTTAATAAAAGTCAACTAGAATAATTAGATTTGTTTTATAATAGATAAATCGTTATCATTATATATAATCGAAGAGAATAAACAATAAATCAATTTCTAAATATGTCAATTTATAATTTATAGTCAACGAGATTTATTTATCATAAAAATTTTTTGTTATTCAGTTATAATTCTGTTCAATAATTGGATAGAAATTAAATAAATTCCTCTTAGAAAAACAACAATAGATATTTACTTTTCTAATAGAAACATTTTATTATAATCTAGTCAAGACCTTTTTTGTTTTTTTTCTAAATGATCAACTATAAAAAAAAGTAAATTATCGTTCGTTTGAATATTTCTATAAGATGTTCTGTAAACATGTCTAACAATCGATAAATGAATAAATCTAATAAATTCTTAAGAATAAATCGAATTGAAATATATTATAAAAGGATATTTTTAAAAATTAATTTCTGTTTTTCTAATGATATTCGAGTATGAGGAGATTTTTCATTAGAAATCTTGATTATTCTATATAAATAAAAGATTTATTTCTCTTTTAATAAATATATAATACGAATTATTTCGAGATATTTAAAGATAAAATATTATTTTATCGAGTTTAACTTTCATAGATAAATATCTATAATATATTCGAGTTCTTTTTCAAATACTCTTAGTAGTTAATATGATCATATCATATTAGCTAACTATCATCTTTTTTTTTATTTACTTATTAGAAAAAATATTTAAAAAAAAAACTCGATTGTCCAACGTTAACTATATCATAGAATATAATAAATAGTTCGATTTCTATAAGGAGATTGTCCAAACATATAATTATGTTTTATTGTTCAACCGATACTCGTTTCAAATAAAATCTTAATCATTATTATCTCATATACTTTTTTCCAAAAACTCCTTTACTTTAATGGCCAATTGTTGGACAAAGAATATATTTTTTGTTTTTTTATTTAAATTCTTATTTAACTTGATTTGATTTCTATCCAAAATAAAATCTGAACAAATATGATTGCGTAATATTAAACATTTATGAAGATCAAGAGAATAATCATCACAAACAATATCAAGTTCAAGTGAAGTTAATCGGCATTCATGTGAGAAAAGCTGTTCTATTAATTCTTTAAATATTATCACTGATTTTCCTAATATAAACATAAAATCAATTATCATATCATTTATCCAAGTTTGTTTTTGAATATTTAATTATCTCCCTCAAATTCCATTCTTGATAAGTCATTTGAGTATCGAAGGTGTTTAATCATATGTTTATCAAAGATTAATCTAAGTTCATCAAGTTGATGTTTAATAAGAAAAGGTAAAATATGAATTAAAGGTTTAACTAATAAACATCGAGTAAGAATAAGCGATTTGACATTTGAAAAACGAAGAGTTTTTTTCTTATTATCAAACAGCCATTCATATATCAAATCACACGAACTCAAATTTGTTCGATCAAAATGAATTCGACGGATAGAAGAAGAAAATGATAATTGGTAAATTAATGGTAATAATGTTGAATAGCATTTTTTAAAAGATAAATCTGGTTCAATAAAAACAAGACCATTGTTTTGTTTTTTGTTAATTCTTGAAAAAACTGAACACATTAATATATCTAATCGTTTATTTAAGGGCCAAAAACATATTAATAAATCTGACCATGTTATATTACAAAATATAATAAAAAGAATTTCATTTGGTAAGCTTTCAAATGTTGATATCATTTTATCTTAACAATAAAAAAAATTAATCAATATATTTGACCATGAACAAACGTAAGTCTGCGAAAATTATTTTTTAGAAATTGGATGTACAATCTCTGTATATATATAATAATATTAAGTGTCCTATCTTAATATAGACAAGAAAATTTAGGTGTATGATCTAATAGCATAAATTAATATTCGAACCAATTCGATGAATTTTGCACTAGTAACATGTTTTATAGCCAAGGGAAATATAGTGTACATTTCAAGTCAGTTTTCTGACTTCCCTATTATACATAATTGTGGTCGGGGACAGACTTATATTATCATTGACTAGATTTATGGCATAAATATTTTCTAACTATTCGTTAGAATAGTTGTAATTTGTTTTATAGAGATAAAAATCAAAATAATTTAATAACAACCAAATCAATATTAAAACAAATGAGTTTGCTTTTTGAAAGAATATTAATAAATATATTCATACCAGAGGTCGAATCGAACCAACTTTTACTGATTCGAGTTCGGTTCGGTTCGTTTTCTTTGTCAAGAAACCAGTTCGAGTTCGGTTCGGTTCGTGTTCTTTTTCAAAAACTCAGTTCGTGTTCGGTTCGGTTCGATTGCATGTCAAAAAAATTAGTTCGAGTTCGGTTCGGTTCGTCTTTTTTTTTAAAATCAGTTCGAGTTCGGTTCGGTTCGATTAAACCATGATTGAGCCTATTCTCAACAAAAAACATCTAAAATCAATAGATGTTGTGGATCAAAATTGTATTCTAATACCACGAATCGCCTAATATATTAATAGTAAGTCACCTTGAACTAAAACAAGTATTAAAATATTTATTCCAGATCCTTTCCAAATTATTCTTTTATTTTTTTTATATAACAGTAAGAATCACATTCATGATTTGAATAATAAAAGAACACAATTAAGACAGATAAGAAACAAAAAGAATATAGAAAAGTAAATATTAGCAAGAGTTAAATACTTTTTTGTTGTTCTCTATTGAACGAAGAAAAAGAATGTCATTGATCGTGGTTGGTTCGAGAGCAGATCGCCGCTGTGTGACTAATTGTCCAGCAGCACTGAATTCTCTCTCTACCGCTGCAGAACTACATGGAACAGCAAATATTTTTCTAGCAAGTTTGGATAAATTTGGAAATATTGATTCATTCTGTTGCCAAAATATAAGTGGATTTTGATAAATTTCATTAGATTTAAGTTGCCAATCAATATATGTATCGATTTCATCCTTGGTTTGTGGTATTGTTATTGGATTTACATCATCCATCAACAACTCTAAAAATAGCTTCGGCTTTTTTGTTAATGGTTCAATTACACAATTGTTATCATAAGTATGCATTGTAGCTGATGATGGTGGTATTGCTGACCGACACGCATTATAACAATCAATAATTTGTATTTGTGTTGCATATCTTAACTGTTTGTAGTTTGGATGTAAAAATGTTCCCATAACATGCATATTGTCGATTTTGAACATCGATTCTAATAGTTGTAAAGATCTTTTTGCAAAAAAAGTCATACCTAAGCACAAGTAGAAAGATAGATCATAAAAATATATATTTCAAGTAATGGAGAAACAAACTTACCACCTCTCATTGTTCTTTCTAGTCTTTTAATTTCTTGTTTCAGATATCCAACACACGGTAAAGTCAAAAATAATGATGGTGAATTACTTAATTGTATTTCCTTCATAACGTATCGCCATGGTTCGAGAAATCTAATTAACTGAGCTACAATGCTCATATTAATTTTTTCAATTCTTGATGATTCTTTTTTTTCATTTAAAATATTCTTTAATGGATGGTAAGCTTTTTCAATGCTTGATAATAAATCATAAAAAGAGAGCCATCTCACAACCGAACTTTGATGAAGCGTGGTCGACTTCACTGATTGTTGTCGATCTTTATTTTCATCAGCTGTTGGACTATAATCTTCTTCTTTTTCGGTTTGGATGAGACGATTCAAGTTCGACTAAATAATGATAGAAAAAACAAAAACGCAACTGATGTTAATACGATTTTATCATATACTTTTTCTTCTAACCTTTTTCGTATATTTCACTAAGGCTTTACAGTAATGAATCGTATTTAAAATTTCTTTGGCGGATGGTGGTAAACTGGATATTGTAACAGACGAATAATCAATATCATCATCGGTTTCAGATTCATTCGTATCGTAATTATCTTCATCATCGGTTATTTCGACCTCAGAATGAATTTCAGGTGATGCTTGAATTGTAGTTTTTGTTGTTGTTGTTTTGTTAGGTGTTTTTTCTGTCCGCTCGATTATCGTTGTTGTTGTTTTACTTCGATCAGAACCTTTTTCTTTTGAAAAGTTTTGATAAAAAGTAAGTTTAAGAATATTGTTTAATCGATGAGCAGTACAGAACAGCACAGTAAAACCATCTAATCCTTTCACAAAATTACTTCCACGATCAGTAACAAAAACTATATCATTTAATGAATTTTCTAAACCAAAAGATATCAATTCTTTGCGTAATAACTATAATGATAAAAAAAAAGCTATTGACCACCATAACAAATGCATTTTATCTTTCTTACTTTCATAATGTTGTCACCAGATTTCTTTTTGAATGTAAATTCGCTACAGAATAAATCGACAGAATGATATTTATAATTTTTGTCGACGAAATGCGCCGTTGCGCCCAAATAAGAAATCTTTCGGTACTTGTCGGACCAGATATCGGGACTAATACATAAACCACCATATTCTAAAGCTCCTAATAAACGATCCTTGAGTAACAATCGTTCATTAGTAGCTAATTTTTTTATTTCGTTTTTTATTGTTCTGTCACAACTAATAATATCATCAGAAGATAATACAGTATCACCACGAAATTCTCGACCTAAAACAAGAAAAATCACATTATTATTTCTTCAAAAAGCAACAATTGTAAGCAATTAGAAATTTTTACCAATTTTCAAGCATTCATCAACTACAGCTTTAAAACCAGGATCTTGAACAATTGTAAAAGATCTCATTGAATGTGCAATCCATCGAGCACAAACTTTCTTCATCTCTTCTTTCCTCTTGGCAACAGCTTTTGTTATTGGAATTGTACGTTGTTCATTTGGTGGTCCAAGTGATTTTGGTCGAAAATGATCATCCAATGATGTTTGATTTGATGGTAAAGAATTAAGGCATTTATGAGACTTTATATGAGTTGTGCTTGAATCAACATAACGATAAGTGTCAAAGCATTTTGAGCATGATACAAAACCAGGAATTGCAATAAATTCATCTTTATCATGTACTTTTTTGGCTGGAAAACCCATATCCATTTCCTTCCAGAATGCAGCTGAAACACGTTTACTTTGATTTGGAATAATTTTATAATTTTCATTATCATTCTTTAATAATAATTTAATGGAATCCGAAGTATAATTTGTAGATGAGTTCGGCGTAGATTGTAATGATGGACATTTGATTGACGAAAAATGAATTGAAGAATTGGTTGACATCATCAAAATGGTGAGTAGAATTCAGTAACTTATAACAGTATGAATATTAAATAACTTCAAGATAAGAAAAACGAAAAAATAACAATCGGTCAACTATTTATAGGATAAAATGTTGTGATAAATTAGACGAGCCTATGTCTATCTTTTTCTGCCTAAATAATAACGAAAAATAAGAAAGAAATAATGAATAGCAGCTCAAATGAATGATCGACCGTCATGAATAGAATTAGTCCAATTGTTATAAAAAAAAAATACTCCGCTCTGCGCAAATGAAATAATAGTTATAAAGCAACTGATCAAACATTGGTTAATCATTGTGTACAACATCATATTATTATAAAAACATATGATAATTGAATAAATCGTTTCTTTTATGTTAATTTTCATTCGATCACCTTTCAAACATCAGATCGAGTTCGGTTCGGTTAGGTTACATTTCAAAAAAATTGGTTCGAGATCGGTTCGGTTCGATCGCATTTTAAAAAAATGAGTTCGGGTTCGGTTCGGTTCGATTACATTTCAAAAGAATCCGTTCGGGTTCGGTTCGGATCGTTTCGAACCGAACCGAACCGTTATAGTTCGGTTCGGATCGGTTCGTTTTCGACCTCTGATTCATACTTACGAAGTAGAAAAAATTTTTAAAAGATTTTTCAGAAGATAACGACTTTAAAAAGTATCCTTTATGGAACTATGAATGTTTTTATTTAACAAATATTATGGCCAATGCGAATGAACTAATTTTTTATTTGTTATTCATTATATAGCATGAACGCATAGAACGAAAAAAAAGTGTTGACCGATTAGCATGATAAAATATTTCATTGGCGTTTACTGAACGTTAGAAAAAAAAACAATTGTTATTCCTTTGTCGGCTATAGATGGTTTTCGTGTAGTACTTCAATTTCAATGAAAGGAAAAAACAAGAAAATTAGTGTAAGAAATAATTCTTAGATAGATTGTATTTCTTTTCTGCATGAATAATTTAACATTATACTAGATGGCACATAGAGTTCGCCTGTGATGCGAAATACAGTACGCGGTTTATAGTTTCTATTTATTATGTTAAATGTTCTAATATCTTACACACGATGAAAGATAGTATTTAGATTGGGTAGATTCCAAATACTCTAATGCTTACTCGCATTCGATGCTGCCATGTGACTAGTCCCTATACCTACTTTTAATTATCTCAGAAAATAAACAAAGTTCGAAAGCCAATTTCGCCTCTTTCTGAGCGAGTTTTTGATAAGATTCGGACCGATGTTCAAATACTCCAATCTCTCGATTATCACATCACAAAGTACGCAATTTCGATGCCGATAAATTAACCGTAATAATAAGAAGATGACAATGAGGAACGTATGAATAGAATATGTTAGCACACCATATCATTTATATTAAGATTGACGGAAAATGTCGACAGCCAAAAATAAACGCATTGATTAGGATGTGAGCAAGGATGAGCATGCTGATCGATTGGAAGGATGCCAATAACACAGTAGAAATATAATTTTTCCCTTTCGGCAGTTTTACTTTTCAATATTTTTCTTTTGCAAGATTTCTGTTTTCAACATTTTCTACGAACCCCACCATTTCACTAAACAAATAAATATTCAAGATTGAATTGGTTGGTGTACACAGAAGGGTGTGGGTGTCGTTGTTTTCTCACTCACACTCCTGGGCGCTCAAGAGCTATTATACGGAAATGCCTATAGATCCTCAAGAGCTATTATATGGAGCCACCCCTGAGTCTTCAAGGGCTATTATATGGAGGTACCCATACGTCCTCAAGAGCTATTATATAGAGGTATCTCTGGGTCCTCAAGGCCTCTTATATGGAGGTATCCACAGGTCCTTAAGAGCTATTATGTGGACGTACTCCTGGTTCCTTAAGACCTACTATATGGAAGTACCCCTGGGTCTTCAAGGACTATTGTATGGAGGTATCCATAGGTGCTCAAGAGCTATTATGTGGAGGTATCCATAGGTCTTCAAGGACCATAAGGCTATAAGGGAGTAGGGAATAAGGGGATAGGGATATAAGGGTAAAGAGGATAAGTGGTTAAGGCTACAGGGCATAAGGGATAAAACTAAAAGAGTATAAGGAGATAAGGCTGCATGAAATATAAGGGATAAGGAAGTAACGGAATAAGGCTTTAAGAGGTAATACCACAAGAGTATGAGGCTACAAAGGTGTAAGACTGTGAGAGTATAAGGTCTCTATATATATAATGCGAACTGTCTGATTGTCTATTACCCAATCAACGCTGAAGGACAGATGTGAAACTTTACAGGAAGAAAGCATCCGTGCAGTATGCACGGGTTCTCGCTAGTATAGATACATTTTCTTGTTGGTCTTCGTCTAAGAAAAGAGGATGTAAAGAAACTAATCATATCTATAGTTTAGAACAACACGTGGATATTTTTGTTTTGTGATAGCTAAATAAATCAACTCCAACACAGTATGAATATTTCTCCCTTATTAAATATAGATGATGTTATTGAGCTTGATTCTTCACCAAATTGTGAAAATGTTCAATTAAATGCTTCATCTTCTAATTCATCTTTTTCATCGATTCATTTAGCAAGTGTATCTGGTTTTTTTCAATCTTTATATGCTGACAAAATTAGTTCGAACTTAAAACTTAATAAAAAAAACTGGATGATTGTTGATGTGAAAGATAAAAAATCCGATCGTTGGAAATGTTTTGGTATTCCTGCTCGAAAAATTGACGAAGAAAAAAGTGAACTATTTGAAAAATTTGTATCATGCAAGCATTGTTATATAACATATTCATATTCATCCAGTACCAGAAACATGAATAAACATATTCGAATTTGTAATGGATTTAATTATACTCAAATTCATTTTATAACATCAACAGAAAGTAATTCTTTACAATTAATTAATACATCAACTTCATCACCTTTAATATCATCACATTCATCTTCTTCAAATAATAAAAGTCTTGAGTCACACAAAAAAAATGACCAATTTGTTAGCTGAATGGATATGTTCAAATGCACGTCCACTAAGTATTGTTGAAGATACAGGATTGAAAAATATAATCGAAGAAGCTATTCGTATAGGTGTTTGTAGCACCCAGAACTTTGCATAATCAGAATATAATTAATTTTTTTTCTTTTTATTTAGGTTATACCTGTGGTACAACTAAATCTGAAGATGTTTTATCATGTAGAAAAGTAGTACATAAACAAATAAAATCAAGTGCTGCAAGTGGACGTGAACAAATAAACAATTTTTATTAAAAGCTGCACGTGAAAGGTCATTAGCGTTATCACCCGACATTTGGTCAGATGCCTATCGTCAACAATCATACTTAGGATGCACAGCTCATTGGATTGATGACAACTGGATATTATATTCCTTCGAAATATTTTGTACACCATTTAATACTCCAAATAAAAAAGCTCCAAATGTGTTGAAGATAGAAGAAGGTGAACTTATATCTTATTTAAAAAAATATTTCATGTTTTCTATAATTATCATGTATTACAACAAGGATTATCTATTTATAATCTCATTCCATATATGAGAGATATTGTTTGGGTTACGGATCGTGAATCCAATATAAGAAAAATATTGGAAGAGTACGAGATGGTGTTTTGTGCAGCTCATCGAGTGAACAATGTTCTTGAGAAGGTTTTTTTTCAAAATGAAAAAAAGAAAAAGAAAATGAAAAATCAACGATTAAATGATCAAATTCAAGAAGATGAAGAAGAAAAGATGAGTGATTCTGAAAAATCAGATGAAGATGATGATAATAATGTTTTTGATGTACGACAACATCATCAACAAAAGATGATAAATGATACATCAAATTCAGTTACAGTTAAAGTAAATCATTTGATTATATTGGAATCAGAGATTCCATTTGAGGCTAAACGTGTTATTAATTTAATTGTTGCTGCAAAAATATTAATAAAATATGTAAAATTAGTAAGAGTTTCATAAAGGCTCAAGTCATCCAACTTAAAAATAAAAAGAATTGTTTTCAGTTTTGTTTCAGGTCAATATCAATCAAGCTCTTGAAGATAAATCATCGCCACGATTGGCACAATGTACAATTGTTCGGTGATTGTCTATGTCGAATTGTCTTGAAGCTTTATTAAAATCATTTTAGCCGTTATGCGAAATATTTGATGAACGACAATTCAACAAAGAACTTTTAGAAAAAATTAATGTTGTTTTATTAGAAAAAATCATTGAATTCATAATGCCGTGGAAACAAGTTTCAACATGATTACAAACGACAAATATGCCATCAATTCATGTCGTTATACCCGGTATTGAAAGTTTAAAAACAAGTTTACAATTGACGTCAAATGATACGAAATCATCAAATGAGAAAGGTAAGAATTATTAATTTGTCTGACTTTGACTGGAGTATCATATATTACTTACCTTTTCACTGTAGATATGACGTTTTTTCGAACGCATGGAAAATTATCGATGGAAGTTATATGTGATTATCATCCTATTCATCTTATGACTTTATTTCTCAATCCAAGAACTAGAAAAATGAAACAATGTACTGATTATCAACGAAACTCATGTTTAGAATACATAAAACAAGAAATGATTATCTTTGATACACTTGATAGTGATACACAATTGAAGAACAACAATAAATCGATAAGAAAAATATCTAATGACGTAAATAGAACTCTTCGAATAATGCAGCAATATTATGAACAACAAGATGAACAAAACGATTTACCAACAACAACAGCTGCAATACATCAATCAGAGATCGACAACTATTTAAAATTTGGAATAGATAAATTAGACGAATTATGCAGCTCAAACTCATCTTCTTTAGTTGATCAAGAATATAATCCATTACATTTTTGGAAGCATCATCATACATTATATCCACGTTTAACAAAAATTGCCAAACGTGTTTTTTCAGTACCAGCAACTAGTGCTGCTGCGTAACCAGGGATGGGCTAGCCTGGGTGTCATCCAGACATTAATACTTTTGGCCCGAGTACCGGCCAATAGAAAAAACTAATAATTATCATTAAAATATTTATCCTTTTTTCTTGTACATACAACAGCTCTGAAAAGCCAATTAGTGAGTGATATTTATAAGATACGAAAAAGGTCTGAACACACAGATGAGCAGGTAATATCAATCGCTTGTTTACTTTTGTCTCTGTATATAATTATATCGCACAATAAAATAAACAATTGATTATTTTATAAATAGTGTATCAAAAAACAGAATTTCTAATTTTGAAATTAAGAATGTTTCTTAAGAGTCTATCATAGGACTATTCAGTAGTATTTGAGTTCATCAAATACAAAAAAACAAAAAATTGATGGTTCTTCAACCTTAGATGATGTAATAGTTATTCAAACAGTGTTTGAGTAGCTGTCAATGTCAAACTACAAATCTATTATATTTTTTCAAAAAATATAATGGATTTTTATTTTGAAGTGTTACGATTACAACAAGCCTTTCCAACTTATCTATCGTTTTTTTATCGGTGAGATGACAATTTCTATAGCATCTGCCACAACATAAAGTACTTTTAGTAAAATATAACTCAAAAACTGTTGCATGTAACAGTATATTCGACAATAGACTTAGTAACAGGAATGTCGTGCGTGACGACGAGTCGAAGTACAGTGGACAGCCAGATGACAAAGTTTTTTACTTGAGCACTAATTTTCTCAGTCTCATGACGCTCAAAAAAGTTGAATAGTATCTAATGCGAAAGTGTTTGAAGTGCGCTAAAAAACACATATTTACTTGTTTTTGAAAACTTCTGCTAAAAACATTTTACAAGAATACTGGAAGTTTTTTTGCTCCTGACATGTACTTAATATCTACTGTACGGGAGTTGATCGATCTCCTCCAAATATTCGGAAATTTTGTTTTTTTGCTCCATGGTTTTCAAAATTTTTTTATAAATTTTAAAAATTTTCGAAAAATTCCTGACTCCTTTCAATATCTTCCACCTTGCCACATTCCTGCTTAGTAAATTATCATTACTAGCAACTGAAAAAGGTTTTTGCGTCGATTATGAAACGATCATTGACGCTTGCGCTATTCAACACAAGAACTGCCAAATAATACCGAAAAGCTGTTGTTTGTTTACTTTTCCTCCTGTTTTTCTCTTTCGGCTGCTTAATTTCACTTAAGAAGGTCACCTTAGAAAATCGAATTTTTCAAGGAAATATCAAAGTTGAGTTTTTACCACAGAAAGATGCGGCGAAGCTTCCTCTTTCAGAATATATATAGCTTTTTCAAAAATGACCAGATTTTCAAAGACTTATCACATAAAACTTTGACTGTACTACCATATTTTCGGAGAAATCTCCGTGAATTTAAAAGTATTTCAGTTTTGGAAAAACTGCGTTGCCACTTGCATTGGCATTGAGTAGAACACTTTTATATTACTCAGCATGTCAGATGGCGTTAGTTGCTTTCACTCTTACGTAGTCTAAAATGATCTACTGGAATGAATTAATAATATACCATTGTAATACGATTTTTTTCTGGATTTGAATGAAAAAACCCAGTTCTAAAATTTCTTTAGCGTTTTCCTCAAAATACGGTTTCCAGATAGGAAAATTGGAATAACTTCGTCTTGTCTCAAGCTATAACCAATATTTTATTTTTATTTTAAAGGTCTCAATGAGAGTAAATTTTTGTCCGAACGCATTTTTTATAGTTGGTTCCTGGACTGAGAAAAGTGGGATTTACTGTCGTTGGACCCCTATTTTTTATGCTAGTTTTAAGACCATCCCACTAAAATGCTCATAAAAAATGAACGAGATTGAATTTCAAAATTCTGTTCGGACAAAAGTTGCGTACTCACATTGGCTTTAATTTGACACCAGTTCGAGTTCTCTACCCCATCTTACGACGAAGTTATATCGATTCTCCTGAAGGCCAAAAAAGACCTGTGAATCAGCTGGAAATCCGATCTAGTGCGACCAATCGAGCTGAAATTTTTACCAGAAGTGTATCTGTCCAAGATCACTCATTGCTGAAAATTTCAGGCCAAAAGGACTATCTTAAGTGGAAAATCATTTCTGAGTGGACCCCCTTAATAAAATAACAGATATATAGTTTTATCTCTCTCTTTAGGGAAACGAAAATTAAGAGACTCAGTTGGACTTCAGGAAAACTTTTCAAAACTGTAAATTTTCCTGGTTAGACCGCTAAGATTAATGCTTAATTTTTTCTTCACTGTTAATACTCTTATATCCTATAAGCAGAGCTAAGGTTATTGGTCAAATAGATATAGACATAAATGAACCTAAGACTCTCAAAATACTCTTTATAGATATATCCTATTTTCTAGAAAATATTCGGATTTTGAAATTCAATTGGATATTCTAAAAATGTGCATATGAATCCATTCTCGGTTTTCCAACTAGAAAATCAAAACCTGCATTTTTGTTTTCTTGAATATCGTATTTTCAAGGAAGTAGAAATTCGTCGTCGAATTTATATATGCTTTTGTGGAATATCCTTTTCTGTTCTTTATAATTTTTTTTTCTGTTTTACAGTGTATCCGTGTCTAAGACAATTGTTGTGTGATCGGAGTGATCCGCTACTGTTTGCCACGCCGGATGCATTTTTCAAGACTTTGTAGGAGATTGAAAGTGGTTGATTGTCAATGTGATACTGATCTGCATGTTGCATCACTTGAACAGCTGCCTGGATATCATCAAAGTGAAGAAAGCCAAACCTGATATTAATGAACCAGACAGAAAACGGTAAATGACACGACGTCTTATCATCTCATACCCTAGTTTTGTTCCGTTGCGTGTGATTTTGCCCTGCCGATACTCGATAGAAGTAGCTTGAGGAAAGAGCGCCTGGAGTTGATCTTTAGTGACCCAGCCCGGAATTCGGCCAACATACAAATCACAGTTACTACACGGATCTACAGGAATAAAACACATAGAAAGATATCCGCTTCGCTTCCTTCAAGCTTACTAGTCAATGAGCTAAAGACATGTTTTGACTCCTTTTCAATATTCCTTGCGTAACTGACTTGAACATCGAAAAAGGTTGCAGCCGATGGAGGCGATGCGAGGAAGGATGACAAATTTCTCTGAGCATCAGTGTAGCTCCAGTGTTCAACAAGAGCGAACCTAATTGATAAAAATAAACAATTCATAATTCAAAATTGATTTCTCCTTTTACTTGAGGTTTTTGTTCCATTGGTTTTTTTTGAACACTACTTTGCGACATCCAGGGAACCATATGTGAAGTCTTCGATCATTGATTGTAGTCGGTAAGCGCGAGACAAATAGTGTCTTCGAAATAGTTGACGATGATGTCTTAGGAGATGAACGATCAACATCTTCATCGGTTGGTGGTGGAGAGTTACTAGCTGGTATTTTAGGCGAACTTGTGAGCAATGACGATGATGAATGCATCATGTTTAGGAAATAATTAAAATTTTTGGTCACTCCAGACTCTGGCATGGTTGAGGATAATTCCTCAACGAAATTAAGAATCGTCTGCTCGTTCTCGATGGTAATCGAGGAACGTGAACTGGTGTTCATCAAGTACTGGTCTAAATTAGAGTCACTGTTGTTCCGAGAGGTTTGTATTTCAAGTTTTTCTTCTTGTTCGTCTATTTCATCCGTCGTTGTTTCTGCCACCAATGTAGCAGGAATCATATCGGCTAGCCACTTAGATTGGAGACATTTCGAACTAGAAAAATATCGTGAAAGATGATCTACTAAAGTAAATGCATCCCTTTCACACGTTCCTCGAGAATGACCGAACGAAAATTCTGCAGCTGTCATCTCACAATGGAGGATCGGGAACTGTATTTCGAGAAATTCGCTCATTTTAGCATCAAATGAAAGATCTCATCACGAAACTAAGAAAGGATGAGGGCGGATAAGGCCATTTTTCTGCCCCTAACAAAATTGACTCTTTTTTATCGGTTTGAAGTAAGACATGGGCCCTGATAATATTCCATAGGTTATTGTTTGTATAACTCATCAAAACGCTTTTGGGATCTGTGGTCCCCAACGGGGATCTCTGAAAAACGTTTTACTTTTGATTCAATTGAGACATATATTTTTTGGTAGAGGAAAATTCACTGATTGCGAATATCAGCATATTAAGTGCTCAAAACTTTTTAGTAAACCAAAAAATGAATCCTTTCTCAGGTGGTTCTTTGGTTTTATATCCGACTGTTTGGCTCTGTACCTTCTCCATTCATTATTCTAACTTCCTGAAAAAACATTTATAATAGTTACAAGAACATGATGTACTCGAATATGAACTATAGAAGTTCGTTGAAAG